GTTAAAATATTTAATCCTTGAAAATGGCTAAATGTATAGCCGAAAGCGCTCGGATAAAAAGAACATTCGGACAGTTTTTATATAATTTATCATCCGAAAAGAAAAAAAAATTATTAGATCGCATGAGAAATTGTATAAAAAACTAAATAAAGGTACCTTGTCTGTCGTATCCAATGAAATGTGCATGAAAGAAGGATTGCTGCCTAAATACAGATATATATATATATATATATATATATATATATATATATATATATATATATATATATATATATATATATATTGTGCGCGTAAATATTAGATCTGATCTTTGGAGTTTTACCGTAAATGTGGGGGTATCGAAAAAATATTGCTGTAGGTAGTAAATTTAGCGAACAGAATACAGATGCATCCCTCTCTGTTGCGTTAGCTCCTTGGAACACTTCGTCTTCTAGCACCCCTAGCTATGGTTCAATTTGCAGGGATAAAAAATGGGTTTTCTGGTTTGGCTGACAGACATTTTAGGATAAGGAATTCGAAATCGTGTAAAAGGCAAAAACAACTCCACTCTGTTTTCCAACGAGTCAAGGCAATTCACATGTGTGAAATACAAGGAATTTTTTGTAGACTTCTGACTGCCTACGTCATGAAGAGATACGGTTATTTACAAGGTAACTCAAAACCTACATTTTTTAATGGGAATTCATGGTACCGTCTTAAAAAACCGGTCGCCTTATGCACCAACCTATACCATAGGAAGATACGTAATGAAAATATTCGTAGAGACTGTAGTCAATTACATTATTTACACTGTTTGGACTGTTGTCTTCATCTTTATTGCTATTGTGAATATGACAATAAAGATGAGGACAACAGTCCGAACAATGTAAATCATTACAATACCTCATCTCAGAAATAGAGACAGATTTTGAAGGTGAATATGGCAATAAAGATGAGGACAGTCTGAATAGTGTATATAACGTAAATAATAACAATACCTCGTCTCAGAAATATAGCTTGTGGTCAATTTTCAAGCTCGTTGCAATGAACCAAACTGGAGAAATTCGTGCGACTTTCAGATGATTTTTTTTTTTTCCTTGCCAAATGCAAAAAACAAAGAACTGAATCCACACAGGCGGATCCATATTGGCCCAACATTAATTAATTCCAAAACCTGTTTTAAGTGTTTCTTAGTTGTATTATATTCTCGAGCGTGCTTTTCCAAAACCTTTCTCTACGTGAGGATCATTTTGTAATTATGTCGGGAATGCGTATCGCATGGTCACAACTTTCTGCAAACAACCTCTGATTTATATTGCAAAAATGAATTTCCTCTCTATGTGTCTTTTCCCTTTAAGGTGTAGACGGTCGTGACTCTTCACGACCTCCTGTCATGCGCTACTCTCAGTAATGTTTGCTTCTTTAATATCTGCTTTTCTAGTTCTATTAGGTTGGTGCAAAAATAATGACGTAATAATGTCGTTTTTGACGTATTTTTTAACGTCAAAAAACGACATTGTTACGTCATTATTTTTGCACCAACCTAATATTTCTGTTTCTCACTTTGACTTTTTTCTGGTCTTGCTACACACTGGGTAATGATCAAGCAACCTCTTGCTCCACCTGTTTTATTTTTTTACGTCTCTTGTTCATCTTTATTCTTGTTTAATCACTTCTATAAAATTTCTTATGTTGGCCGTTTCCTAATAGAGAAACATTTGGCATTCGTTGATCGTGTAGCTAGCGACACTTTCGATTGGAATCTATAAAATCTGTCTTGTAAAGCAATTTTTCGGAAAAATAACTTTCCCAGGTCCACTGTTATCGCTCTTTCTTGTCGTTATCAAGGGTTTCTTCCTAACCTTTTCTTTGGAGTAGGATGGTGTCTCAACATCTTGATTATGTCATTATTTTCTCTTCCTGTTATCCATTTTAGATGTTACTGTTGTTGAAAATATTCAAGCGATGTGGTTTGTTATTGCTACAGCTCCTTGCTTGTGATTTTGTAGCGTCAGAATGTTCGGTGAAACCAAGTCCTCAATAAGACCGACAGGACTCATTCTCTCAAAGACATTTTTAATCACTGGTCTGAGGAAACAGTTGTATACAGTTGAGAGTTTATATATTTCTGGAGAGGTTTTATGCCATGTATGAGCATCCAGATGAAAGTTTCGATCTGATGAGACTATTTGCGAACAAGAGTTTTCAGGATAATTTTTCGGTTTAGAAGCAACTCATGGTGTTGGGAGAAACTATCCCTAGCGAAAAAGTTATTATAAGGTCTAGCTTTCAGGTGTCTTCATTCAAAAGGAGGTTGAGTTTAACACGAATATAATTGAACATTACATCTCGTTACTTCGATTTGCTTTGCGATTTTACACCTCGAGCATGTGAAACTCTGACCAATTATATAACATAATAAGCTTTAATTTACAGTTCTGACTTGTAATTTGAGATATTCAGTAAGCAACGGAGAGAAAAAGGTTTTTTTTTCTTTCGTTTTGACGTGGGAAATAAACAT